TAGGGTTAGGGATGAGTTTTTTGTCTCGTTGTCGAACAATTTTAATTGCCATTCAAACATGTACGAGTACAGTGCATTAGATGTTAAAGTTAAAGCACAATCCATTGCTTCGCCAACTAGCCTCCCTACCTATTTGTAACAGATTCCCTCCAGTACTGAACAGCCGGAGGATGCAGTCCACCACCGCCCTGCCTTCGCGAACACCATTGACTGGCCGAGTGCCCTGAACCTAGTGCTACCGGCCGAAAAACGAGAGGGCCGGCGAGTCAGAGACGGTGAGCAGGGGGATGGCGGATGGGAGCTAGAAACCCCTGGGAAGAGGCCACCATAGAACCCTATTGCCGGCCAACAATCCTGGTATATTTCCGCAGAAGAAAGCGAATCATCACGGGCTGGGAACGACCGCCCGCCAAGCACTGCGGGTATTCAAAGTTGAAAACCGTGACTTTATTATATGTCGACACCTTCAACCACGACCACGTGTTGCACTAAGGATAAATCAAACCAATAGAATTGATCAATGGAAACGGGCAGCGGAAATCACTCTGAGGACACCATTTGTTGCAGCAGTTCAAGTGCGTGCTTCATTCACTTTTCCACTATTCAACAATATTCTAATATTTGCTCGCCCACTGGCATACCTACGCACAGACAATCATATCATCCCCAATTCCACGGACCAGCCCTAAGCAACATGTATCGAAGGAAGCCACAGAACCTGGACCAATTGCTGCTATTTGACTCCATTGTATTAGTATCGGATATGCTTAACAAGTAATTGGAAAGGAAGTTCAGAAAAAAGAAAAAGAAAAAAAGTAAAAAAGTAAAAAGTGCGAAGAATTGAGAACAGATTAGAGTGGAAGGAACCACAGAGGAAGATGGAAATGAAAGAATAAGCAATAGGATATGATTAAGGGGGAGTGGATGGAAAACATAGACTGAAGGTTGAAGACAGAACTCCAGGCACCCGTTCAAAACATGAACCTTCAACTCCATCTTTGAAGGTAGACTAGCCATTTTTAGCCAACCACGCGCACTAGCATACTCTGATTTTGAATGCCATTTTCAAAGTAGATTTATAGTCCGTAACTTGGAAGGCGGGGGGAATCGGGGGACAGCGTTCCATGGCAAGAACAGCTACACCAGCGTACTCGAAGATCACAAGAAGGTATAATTCTCGGTCCGGGGTTTGCTGAGGTCTGTTAAACCCAAGAGCGTAGCTAAAAGCATGCGATATTTTTCAAGCTGAAAAAAAAAAAAAAACTACGGGTGGGCTTGCAAGGGCTACTTCAACCCCGGGGAGAACTATATCTCACAACCTAGAATAGGCTGCGAAGTTGGGAGCATTACCAGGGAGCCAATCGCGATGCGAAAGGCGCATCATGGTGCGTGGGGGGGGGGGGGGGGGGGAGTTCGAGGTCGCTAATGGGCTAAGGCTTTGTACATGATTGATTTCGTGAATATGTTGGTGTTTCCATCTGACTGGAGCGGGGGTGGAGGGGGATTAGAAAGAATGTAGCTGAGAGAATAGGATATGTAGTGATGAATAATGCCAGGCGGGATATGGAAATGGGATAACGACGTGATAGTAGGATGTGGATGGGTGGGGGTGACTGTGCTTTGCAAGTCCGGTTACGGTCTCCCGACCCGTTGGTGTAGGAGCTATTATCGATACGAGAGATCTTGGGAGGTAGGCAGCCGATCATGGCAAAGCAATAATTGAGACCTTCTGGGATCGAATATGTATATGCTTAGGAACAGTGATTTGATAATGCTCTCTATCTAAAATCACGGGCTTGGATGCCTTTTTTATTGACAAAATATTCTTCCATCGACTACTCGTGCGTCTACCAAGAATAGGTTTCCCCATTTGCGGTAGCGAGTGTGGGCCTGTACTTTTCCACCAAAGAAGTATGGTGGAGAACTCGCTGAGAGGCCTAACTATTTGGGAAATTGTCTCATACTGCTCTCACTTCTCTGACGATGCTATCTCATTCCACTACGGTACTCACTATTCTAGCCAAACAACATAGGAGGGGGGCAGTTAACGGACAGGCCTCAATTTTCTTTTCTTGGAGATCTGTCTTGCTGTTTCTTTATTCACCTGCGTGCAGACAGATAGCTGGGCAAAAGTATTCCTGCGCATACATAAAGGGCAACAATAGTGGCTTTAGTTGATGTAGAAAGGGTCTTCCCACTGGGCGTTATGGAGTGGATGCAATGATGTTGAACTTTCTTGTCACATGTTTACGAAACATCCTAGGTTTCTTGATCACCTACAAGTGCCAGGGAAGATGTTTTCGTACAAGACAGGGATTATTTTGCTGGTTAACCTGATTAACTGTGCGAAAACATTATCCCTAGCACATGTACTAGTTATGCAATATCATACACTATACTTCTTTGGTGGGAAAGTCCCGGCCGACGCTTGCTACAGTACCACAAATGGGGAAACCAATTCTTGGCTAAGACGCACGAGTATTGTGAGGTCTTCTCTCGCCTCTGCGTTCTTTTGTGGGATTGACACACTCAGGTCTTCTCCCGTTCAGCTCACACCGGAGGTCCGGGAAATGGGTCTGAGAAGGAGTAGAGAGATACTTCACGAGTAACAAGGAAGTTGAAATCGGTAGAGAAGATCCAGAAGAAACACAAAACAACCTCGTTCCACGGTGAATCTCTAGAAACAGATTCGACTATAGAAAAAAAGACTGTCTATTCTTCTCATAAAGGTGCATGTGTAAAATCTAGGAAAACAATTGCTGCCACGCACTCCCTCATCCTTCTCATTCCTCCTACCCCCTTTTCTGATTTCCCAACCTGTACTAGCTAGATTGTCTTGGCTTGTCATGCTCCGAAAAATCAAAACCACTATCTAGCAAGCACGGTTCTCTGGCAACCGTTACCATCATCCCTAATTATGCCCTGACAGTATGGCAACCACATACTTATACCATGCACTTGCCTCATGTTATCTCCATGATTTTATAGATTTTGAGAGTTCCCCAGAGCCCTACATGTTATCCTGGGTTTTAACAATGCAGCATGAGATTTTGGTAGATTTTTATTGACATTCATGGTGCCTAAGAGGGTAGTAAAAATGCATGCTCTTGGTGTAAAAAGGGCATCGTACGAAACGAATTGCCCTGGTACTGTACCTCTGGAATGCGGTAGAATAGCGCCTGCCGTGATTACGAGGAGAGGGATCTTAGAATTTCGCAAGCGTGGAAGTTTGCGGGAAAGCACCATTCCTTCTTTGGAGTGGCATGTGCCGTCGACGACAAAACACAACAGGCCGATCAAGCTGCCCTAACGAGGTCAAGAACGGAGGTTTCTGGAATGCCGGCGTATCGATAACGCTAACATTTCCCTATATTAAATTAGGCCGTGATAATGTGAGGTCCTAACCTGGCCATCACGACGATGCTATGGTGCCTTGCACTTAAAAGGGACACCTGGGTCGATGCAACATGTAACGCTCAACCCTGTATGCAGCCAGTATCATACCCTAAATCCTTTATCTTTGACAATATATTAACTTGCATTTTGAATCATATTACAGTTGAACAGTAATTTGCTATGCTGTAGATACAGAAAATCTAGTGGCAGATATAGGGAGAGGGTCGGATATCAGAGGCACATGTTGCTTTATACAATGGTAGTTATAGGAAAGAGTTTTTGATACATGAAGGTAGAAAGTCTGATACAGTATATACTTGACATGTGTTGAGATTAATATGTTTTTAATTTGTGATATGATTGGAAGTGAAAGTTAAAGTGCTACCAAAGATAAAGGATTCGGGGTATAGTACTGATTACATATAGGGTTGAGTTTTACATGTTGCATCGAGCCAGGTGTCTCTTTTAAGTGCAAAGCACCATAGCAACGGAAATGAACTCTGCCATAACTCAAGCCCCAAATGCGTCCCACAAATCCATTGCCGAAGCAATCTTCAATTTTCCGCGGCAATCTGCAGTAGTCCCCAACCCGATAAGAAGCCTCACCGAACAAGCACCTGATATCAGAGGGTCCGTGTGGAGGAATGCTGCCTTGAATATATGATAGCCGTGCACCACATACTATATGATACTACTTTTAGAGGTGCTGTGATCACCCAACAAGGGTCGCCTCATCCCCACCCCAACCCCATGGGAATCGGGGGAAGGGAGGGGGTCCACAAGGGATTGGTTACACTACTCGTACACCCTTCCGATATATATGACATGGGCCACCATTGTGCTTCCCTGGAGGGCCGGCTGAATGCAAGCGAGGAGGAAGGGAAAAATTTCGCTCAAAATACTCGAATGAACGGTGCGTCACCACGAGCTGAAGCCTACAGGAGCAGATACGAGTGGCCGGGCTCCAGGTCCCTAGTGGAGCCTTGCTAGCAAGCACAGTACAAGAACCTTGCAATTGGAATTCCTGGCAATTCGTTATAGGCGACTGGAGGTTTCCGGTTGCAACTCACATTTTACGAGTAAATTATCTAGCAAGAAGAACCCGAACACAAGGGGGATCCCGTCTTCATGCCTGGGACTTGTACCCTCAACTCACTCTAAGTCGTCGGGATTCGGAAAATACGAATCCTGCATAGTGATCAGCATTACCTGGGGAGAGTTGGGGGGGAGTCCTGAATCGAGTTGCCCTTTCTTCCCGGCTGGAGCGAGGCAAGGAAAGTGACTTCGTCAGCCTCGTTGACAACATTGCTTTCGCTCCCAAGATGCATCCGGACCTAAAGGCTTTGTGCTCTCAGGCCGATCCCTTGGTATTCGGAAGCCCTTATTGGCCAAATCGCCGCGGCGTGCACCTGCGGGATGGAAGCACTTGCCCCATCGTCCTCTTGTGCCGGATTACTGTACCGGTGGGTACCGTATCGGCCTGGAAACCTCCCAGTACTAATATCGTACCCGGACTGGCTGTGAGTGTCCCTCCTATCTCTCTACCGTATATTGTCATTGTCAACTTTACCGCCACCACCGACAGCTAGAGTGTTGCCTATACCGGGACCACTCTCAACACCTCTGGATATCGCCATCATTCTTGCTGCCACAGAACAATCTCTACCAGTATCTTTCGGACTCTCTCATCCTATCCCCTCTTGGTAAAAGGCACTGGGCAGTTCGCTGCGGGCATTGTCCTGGAGATTGTGCGTACGCCAATCAGTTCAGCCGCTAACCGATTCAGTTCTATCCGGTGTTCTTCGGGTGCCTCCCCTCGTTCATATAATCGGCCACCGGCTAGACTTTTTTCAATAGAAGGTTAAAACCGCCCCCCACGAATTCCACCTCCAGACACCAGCCACAATGCCAGTTACCGTCAAGCCCTCACCTGGGCTTGTGGGCTGCAATGTCGACCTCACGGTCCGTTCGGCGGAGGACCTACTAAAACACGCATCGAAAGCCTGGGCACCTGGATATGAAAGTAACGACAGGAGGACCCGACAGACGACACAACCCGACAAGCGGCGAATCATTCTGTCCTCCTTTTACGAACTCGACTCCCGCACCTCCCGGATAATCCCGTATGGCAACGGCCTAGTCAATGGTATCATACGCGCTTTCCAGCAGGATCTTCACTTGGTCTTACGGCCCGACGATATCTGGCTTTCCATCCTCACGCAGTTCAGCATGTTTGTCAACGGGAACGCTGAGCATCTCCGTGCCCAATTTGTCCATCATGAGGATAAAAAGGACCTCGCAATCGAGATAAGCCCGAATTCTATTCGCAATATAGACATAGGCAGGTTTGCACAGGCCATGACGGTACTGATTCAGGAAAATGTAGTGGATCCACAGCTCAGGGAGCTGATAATGCCGAACTTCAGCACGACAACCGACGAGGATAAGTCGGTCGCTGCAATAGTTATGATGGGAACTTTGCAAAGGTACTTTACCTACACCCTCGCGGGAGGATGCGGGTTCCCCTCCGTAACCCTACTAGGCGAGAAGTCGGACTGGGAAGCGATCCTCCATAGGGTTCAGCGCCTGCCAAAGTATGGCCACCAAATAGCGGAGTGGACCCGCCTCCTAACCCCCATCATCCAGCACATGATAGCCTCCTTCACCCAACCAACTTCGCCAGCCATCTGGAATTTCTGGCTGCGAGCCTGCCATGCCGCGGGGCTGGATGGATCCGGGGGTAGTGTGTCCACCATATCGGGTTGGATAACCGCCTTCTGTTTCTTCGAGGAGACCGGTCAGAGGGTATCGGAATACTCGGATAAACAGCTACGCCGCTATGCGGCCACGACAAGAATTGCCAAGCGAAAGAGACTAGTCATAGGGGACGCTGTTTACCCAATCATACACCCCTCAAGTATTCCCAAAGGCGTCGTGTCCGTTCCCATTGTTGTCCAGGACTACTCGACCGGGCTGGAACACAAGACAACTATGGTTGCGGGTTCTGTCGGGATGACTCCTTCTGCTGCGGATGGTGGAGGGGAATTGACTACGGTGCAGCCTAGGTCTGGGTGGTGGATATTGGAGGATTCAGTCGGGCGGATTTCTAGGTCTTATTGTCCGGAATAGAAAGAAAAAAAAGCTTTACCGGGGGGTTTGACTTGGAGATTGGTGGAGCACATGTTCGGGTAGCCAGTGCCAGTGTTGTATTGTGTGCTGGTGACCACATCAAGTTCATGTGGGGGATGTGACCACAACACCTAATTAAATTTGTCTGCAGTGCTTTGTTTTTCCTCTATGTGGGAAACAATGTGTGAGGCATCATAAGCTCCCGCAGTTTCATCTCTCCAAGCTGCCAGCGTTTCATCGTCCTAAGCTTTTAGTTTCTTCATAACTGCACATGTGTACTCTTACGGTACCAAGTGAGTGTTTTGTCCCGCTCAAATCTCTCGGCTGGCGTGTCTTGATAAACACGGTCCAGATTCCCGATAGCACGAAATTAGTCTAAACCAGCGATATAACCTCTGGCTGTTGGTCCACCTAGTCGAAAAATTTCTCCCATAGAAACGCACGAGTAGTCAAACTCGGGTGGGCGAAGTATCATACCTCCATCGAATGTTGCGATAAGGGGGGGGGGGGGGTTACATCAAAAGATTACCAAAGGAGCTGGGACTGGCATTCGAACCGGGGGGTTATATTATGGAACCCCTAGCTTACTGAAGAAAAGGAGAGAAAAAAAGGAAACGTGTAGTCACGCTTGAGAATTTCATAGGTGTCTGTACGTACCTGGTGTGAAGTGTGGGTTAGGGATCCTCTGGTTGGCTCCAAGGCCTCATCCACTGAGAGATTGCGTTTGCTCCTACTACTCTACCGAAAGTCTCGCAGACCCCTTTCCCCTTCACCGGTATTGATTTTGTTCATTGGAGCTCGGGATTCCCGTGCCCTGGCCGACCCCTCGGTATTAGCCAACCAACCCTGGGCTTCTTCGGCTATTGGAGGGCAGGTGGTATCGTCCCGTAGGTGCTGCGGGTCTGTGGGGGGTCTGTGGGGTGTGCGGGTGGTACTTTCCAGATCTATTGCGGGATGGTGGATTCGATATGGAGTTGGTTCACCCTTTGGATGTAATTGCTATGAGGCGTATACGCCAAGTCACCGGTCATACCGTAGTTAGCTACAAGGTTGGTATAGCACTCTAGGGATCGGAGAAGTCGGAGGCCCACGGAAAATCACGCGGAACTGGACAAAGCCATCCGACTAAAAGAAGAAAAAAAAAGAACGTAGTGAAAAGGGGGAAGGTAGAGAAATGGAGGAACTTCCCGGCGAGGACGAGCAAGAAATGATACATGTGTCGTAAATCAGCTGTTAAAAGAAATATTGGGATCACAGGCGCCGGAGAGGAACAGATATCTTGGAGCTGCGGAATCGCAAGATATAATACAACTATTGGAAATATTTTCTACAAAACTAGTATTCGATTTTTAGCTTGGTAAACAGGGGTATAAAAAGGCTTACGATCCAATGCGACTCCGCTCTATCAAAGTATTGAATCGAATCAGCAGCCGTGCAGTACCTGATCGAGTGCGATGCTGGTAACGGAAGAAATTCACACCTACCTTGTTTTCCCGGTAGAATGAGCATTTCCCAACAGGTGCCTATACACCACTACAACCGCGGAAAAATCCAGTGAATTTTCGGGCACCCCCCTAAAAATTCCGGCACCAAGAATTCTGAATGTCCGATATACCCCAAAAGCACTGTAAGGACATGCGATTTGTGAGAGCATGGAATTTCCACATTGCAACAATACCGGCTGGCTTCATTTCCTCACTGCCCGGGTCAAGCAGGACTGAAAGAATTCGCAATCTTATATGTAGAAATATCCGGTGATTCCCTTCCATCTGCTTACTATTTTCGAAAGAAAATCTGCTGCATATCTTTTTTAGTGCCCTGCTAAGTTTGTGTATTTTGGGTGGGAACGGGGGAGGGGGGGAGCGATCTCTTTCTTTCCTAGTTGAGCTCGCACCCTTATGAGAGCGGAGACTTGGTCATGTGATGTAGCGCTCTGCTTAGCGTAGCGATAGGACAGCCCATATAAGTCAAGGACCCCATCACACTCCAACAGGAAAACCAAGAATGATCTTTTTCTTATGATATCCACTAATGTACCCATTGGCATAGCGACAAATAGAGTATCATACAATGAAAAATTTGGAAAAACAGCAAGGTAACTGATGAGGAATTTCCCTGACCACCACCGACGTCAACAATACAATACTCAAGTACTAGCATGAATCATCTTGATGTAAACAGACACTGTTCTCTGCTACCCATTGTCCGAGTCCAAGTTTTGAAAGTTTACAAAATGTTCAATCTTTTTGACCTTTGTCACTTTACTTCATCTTCACTATTGTCAGACTGTGAATGGACAAGAGCAGAGTGTATAGAGTTAGCGATTTGGAAGGTGGAAGATGAAAAGAGTTGGGGAGAAAAAGCAGTGATTACTGCAATTGCAAGTTCTATGATGTCCCATGCAGTCAGTACCTTATGGCATCAACTAAATGGAAGAAGTATATGAAGGAAGGTTGCAGAAAAGAGACTATTGCATCCTCCGTCTCCATTACAACTCTGGTCATTGAAAAATATTTCCTATTTGGGAACCACTCAACACCAGAGAACTATCACCACCTTTTCTGGCCTTGCACCCCCCCCCCCAGCAGGGGGATGTAGGCCACCCCTTCTCATGTTTCCTCCTGCTAGGCCTTGCTTCTGCCTTGGGGGACTTTTCTTTGAGGTTAATCCTCTTGGGAGCTCTTTTTTCCTGCTAGGAGTGGTCTTACGATGCCTCTACCTCCTCCTCCTACCCTGCTTTTGCTAGGCTCACTTAGTATTTGCACAGTCAGCTTTTCAGTCAGTTGGTCTGGTGGTCCTCTGGGCTATCAGAACTTCTGTTCAGACCTCTTTATGTAGCATGATGATGCCAGTGGTATCCCATCCACTAAGTGATACTTTCTCTTGGAGAACTTGAATAACTTGAAGGGACTACATGAGAGAAGTGGTAATACATCTACTATCTGGCTAGGCTTGACTTAGGTTCCGTGATCCCAGTTGCAGCCTACTGCTGTATTGTTATGTTTTTTTGACTTTCCCTCTTTTTTCATCTGGCAAGCACGGGACGCACAGGATGCAAACTGTTAATCAGGACGTAGGCTGAATCCATTGTTGCGCATCCTGACACTCTCCGGACATGCAGCCCTCTACCCCCCTGCATCATTACCCCTTGCTAGCTTGGTCTTGGGCGTCCTGACAACCTATACCCCTGGTCCCTAGCATCCCCTCATCCCCACCCCAACCCCATGGGAATCCGGGGAAGGAAGGGAGTCCACAAGGGATTGGTTACAGTACTCGTACACCCTTCCGATATATATGACATGGGCCACCATTGTGCTTCTCTGGAGGGCCGGCTGAATGCAAGCGAGGAGGAAGGGAAAAATTTCGCTCAAAACACTCGAATGAGCAGTGCGTCACCACGAGCTGAAGACTAAAGGATACAAGTGCCCGGGCTCCAGGTCTCTAGTGGAGCCTTGCTAGCAAGCACGGTAAAAGAGCCGTGCAATTGGAATTCCTGGCAATCAGCTATGGGCGACTGGAGGTTTCCGGTTGCAACTCAAATTTTACAAGTAAATTATCTAGCAAGAAGAACCCGAACACAATGGGGATCCCGTCTTCATGCCTGGGACTTGTACCCTCAACTCACTCTAAGTCGTCGGATTCGGAAAATACGAATCCTGCATAGTGATCAGCACCACCTAGGGAGAGTGGGGAGGGGGAGTCCTGAATAGAGTTGCCCATTCTTCTCGGCTGCAGGGAGGCGAGAAAAGTGACTTCGTCAGCCTCGTTGACAACATTGCTTTCTCTCCCAAGCTGCGTCAGGACTTCAAGGCTTTGTGCTCTCGGGCCGATCCCTTGGTATTCAGAGGCCCTTATTGGCCAAATCGTAGTGGCGTGCACCTGCGGGATGGGGACACTTGCCCCATCGTCCTCTTGTGCCGGATTACTGTACCGGTGGGTTCCGTAGCGGCCTGGAACCCCCTAGTACCGATATCGTACCCGGACTGGCTATGTGTCCCTCCTATCTCTCTACCGTATTGTCATTGTCAGCCTTATCGCCACCACCGACAGCTAGAGTGTTGCCTGTCCTGTGTTAGTGGTTTGTACGAGTGCAGGCGATAAGCGTGTTTGTCGCGTGATTCTGATAAGAAAGTTTCAGTGCACCTTTTAGCTGCGATGTGTCCTTAGATAAAGCATGTGACAAATATATTTATCGACCGCACTCGTACTGAGGCTACCATCATGTGACGGTTGGGGTTTCGGGAGACCTACAACCAGAGGCTCAACATTCGTGTATTTCCCTCCTATATAGTGGTGGTGGCAGCTGGGAGATGCCAGCATCACTCTCAACACTGCTGCATATCGCCATCATTCTTGCTGCCACAGAAAAATCTCTACCAGTATCTTTCAGGACTCTCTCATCCCATCCCCTCTTCATAAAAGGCACTGGGCAGTTCACTGCGAGCTTTGTTCTGGACATTGTGCGTACGCCAATCATTTCAGCTGCTGCACCTATGTGATACTGGTGGCTAACCGATTCAGTTCTATCCGGTGTTATTCGGGTCCTCCCCTCGTCCATGTAATCGACCGCCGGCAAGACCTTTTCCAATACAAGGTTAAAACCGTCCCACACGAATTCCACCTCCAGACACCAGCCGCAATGCCAGTCACTGTCAAGCCCTCACCTGAGCTTGTGGGCCGCAATGTCGACCCCACGGTCCATTCGGCGGAGGACCTACTAAAGCACGCATCAAAGGCCTGGGCACCTGAATATGAATGTTTCGACAGGATGACGCGGCAGATGGAACAACCGGATAAGCGCCGGATCATTCAGTCCTCCTTTTACGAACTCGACTCCCGCACCTCCCGGATAATCCCGTATGGCAACGGCCTAGTCAATGGTATCATCCGCGCTTTCCAGCAGGATCTTCACTTGGTCTTACGGCCCGACGATATCTGGCTTTCCATCCTCACGCAGTTCAGCATGTTTGTCAACGGGAACGCTGAGCATCTCCGTGCCCAATTCGTCGCTCATGAGGATAAAAAGGACCTCGTAATCGACATACGCCCAAACTCGATTCACAATGTAGACATGGGCAGGTTTGCACAGGCCATGACGGTACTGATTCAGGAAAATGTAGTAGATCCACAGCTCAGGGAGCTGATAATGCCGAACTTCAGCACGACAACCGACGAGGATAAGTCGGTCGCTGCAATAGTTATGATGGGAACTTTGCAAAGGTACTTTACCTACACCTTCACGACCGGATGCGGGTTCCCCTCCGTAACCCTACTAGGCGAGAAGTCGGACTGGGAAGCGATCCTCCATAGGGTTCAGCGCCTGCCAAAGTATGGCAACCAAATAGCCGAGTGGACCCGCCTCCTAACCCCCATCATCCAGTACATGATCGCATCCTTCGCTCAACCAACTTCGCCAGACGTCAGGAATTTCTGGCTGCGAGCCTGCCATGCCACGGGGCAGGATGGATCCGGTGGTAGTGTGTCCACCATATCGGGTTGGATAACCGCCTTCTGTTTCTTCGAGGAGACCGGTCAGAGGGTATCGGAATACTCGGATGAACAACTGGGCTACTATGCAGCTATGATAAGCATTGCCGAGCGAAAGAGACTAGTCCTGGGGGACGCTGTCTACCCAATCATACACCCCTCAAGTATTCCCAAAGGCGTCGTGTCCGTTCCCGTTGTTGTCCAGGACTACGCGACCGGGCTGGAACACAAGACAACTATGGTTGCGGGTTCTGTCGGGATGACTCCTTCTGCTGCGAATGGTGGAGGGGATTTGACTACGGTGCAGCCCAGGTCTGGGTGGTGGATATTGGAGGATTCAGTCGGGCAGCTTGCTGGGTTTTATTGACCGGAATGGAAACAAAAAAAGCTTTACCAGGGGGTTTGACTTGGGGATTGGTAGAGCACATGTTCGGGTAACCAGTACCAGTACATAGTTGTATTGTGTGGTGGTGGTGACTACATCAAGTTCACGCGGGGGATGTGATAACATCCTTTAAATAAATTTATCTGCGGCCCTTTTTTCTCCCCCCATATGGGAAACAATTTTGGGGGCATCAGAAGCTCCCGCAGTTCCATCTATGCAAGCTGCCAGCATTCCATCGCCCCAAGCCCTCAGTTGTCCACAGCCGCACATCCGTACCCATACCAAGTAATTGTTTTGTCCCGCTCAAATCTCTCGCCTGGCGTGTCTTGACTAGCGCGACCCAGGCCCTCGATAGCATGAAACTAGTCTGGACTAGCGACATAACCTCTGGCTGTTGGTCCATCTAGTCGAAAAAAATCTCCCATAGAAACGCGCTCTAGTAGTCAAACTCGGGTGGGCGAAGTATCATACCTCCATCGAATGTTGCAATGAAGGGGGGGGGGCTACATCAAAAGATTACCAAAGGAGTTGGGACTAGCTTTCGAAGCCGGGGGTTATATTATGGAACCCCTACTGAGGAAAAGAAGAAGAAAAAGGAAACGTGCAGTCACCCTTGAGAATTTCATAGGTGTCTCCATGTGCTGGGTGTGAAGTGTAAGTTAGAAATCCTCTGATTGGCTCCAAGGCCTCCTCACCCATTGAGAGACTGTGTTTGTTCCCACCACTCCATTGGAAGTCCTGCAGACTTTTTGTTCCTCCCACCGGCATTGATTTCGTTCATTGGAGCTCGGGATTCGAGTGTTCTGGATCACCCCTCGGGACTAGCCAACCAACCCTGGGCTTCGGTTATTGGAGAGCAGGTGGTATCGCCCCATAGGTGCTGCGGGTCTGCGGGGTGCGCGGGTGGTACTTTCCAGATGTATCGCGGGATGGTGGATTTGATATGGAGTTGGTTCACCCTTTGGATGTAATGCTACGAGGCGTATACGCCAAGTCACCGGTCATATAGTAGTTAGCTACAAGATTGATATCGAATTCTAGGGTTGGAGGCCCATGGAAAATCGCGCGGAACTAGACAAAGACGTCAGGCTGAAAGAGAAAAAACACGCAGAAAAAAGGGGGGAAGTAGAGAAATGGAGGAACTTCCCGGCGAGGACGAGCAAGAAATGATACATGCGTCGCAAATCAGCTGTCAAAAGAAATATCGGGACCGCAGGCGCTGGGGAGGAACAGATATCTTGGAGCTGCGGAATCGCAAGATATAATACAACTATCGGAAATCTTTTCTACAAAACAAGTATTTGATTTTCAGCTTGCTAAACAGGGGTATAAAAGGCTTACAATCCAGTGCGACTCCCGCTCTCTCAAAGTATTGAATCGAATCAGCAGCCGTGCAATACCTGATCGAGTACGATTCTGGTAACGAAAGAAATTCACACCTACCTGGCTTTCCCGGTAGAATGAGCATTTCCCAATAGGTGCCTATACACCGCCACAACTGTGGAAAAATCCAGTGAATTTTCGGGCACCCCCCTAAAAATTCCGGCACCAAGAATTGTGAATGTCCGATATACCCCAAAAGCACTGTAAGGACATGCGATCTGTGAGAGCATGGTATTTTCACATTGCAACAATGCCCGCTAGCTTCATTTCCTCACTGTCCAGGTCAAGCAGGACTGAAAGAATTCGCAATCTTATATGTAAAAATATCCAATGATTCCCTTCCATCTGCTTACTATTTTGGAAACAAAATCTACAGCATATCTTTTTTAGTGCCCTGCTAAGTTTGTGTATTTTGGGTGGGAACGGGGGAGGGGGGGAGCTATTCCTTTCTTTCCTAGTTGAGCTCGTACTTGTACCCTTATGAGAGCGGAGACTTGGTCATGTGATGTAGCGCTATGCTTAGCGTAGTGATAGGACAACTTATATAAGTCAAGAACCCCATCACACTCCAACAGGAAAACCAAGAACGATCTTTTTCTTATGATACCCACTATGTAGCACACTCGCGACCCAAAAGAACTCACCGCCTAGTTAGCCCTAAGTTACCCACCTCGCCCCCACCCACCGCTACACTGTATCATACTCGAGTATATCCACCCGTGCTTCTATGATGCTAGCACACCTTTTCACTGCCTTTCTGCACTGCGCTGGTAACCTCTCCTACCCACACCCCTCAGCTCGACTAAAAAGTTGTCTTAGGGTCTTAGACACTTCTTTTCCATTAGATTTCACCATCATAGAAACCAGCGATGGGCAACTATGGAGGGGTAGTACACATTGCACGTTACAGTACAGAAATCTGAATAAACCCGAGAAAAAAGGACTCCATCTCCGATCGTTCATGTGTCTCTGCTCTTTCTCTCCAATGGTACCATCTCCAAATCGTGTTAGCCAACATCAAATATCACTCGCTTACATACTTACGGACCAGGACGTTCCCTACCGGATATCCTATCTGGAAAGCCACCTATTCGGCCAAGTGGATATCCTCCTGGTCAAGGCTAGTTCTCTCCCGCTATAGATAATATTTGCTGACCCCACGAGTACGAACACCAGTGTTCCCAACCGTCCCGGGCGCCCTACAGGGCCC